AGACTTTAGTGTATAGGGCATCATTTCAGAATTTGATGAAACTTTGTGAACCGTGAGGGGGAATAGTACAGAACTTGGTGCATTGAGCCGACAAGTGAAAGTGAATGCAGAGGGGTTAAGTTATTAATCTCAGCAAGAAGGACTAGACAGAGAATATAAAAGGTCACAATTGTAAAGGGAGTATAGGATCAAAGGAACTTGGGAGTGTGCATGCATAAATTATGGAAAGTGGCAAGATGAGGTGACGGAGTGGTCAATAAAGCATACAGCATCCTTGACTTTATCAGTAGGAGAACACAATACACCAGCAAAGAATAAAACAAAGGAAAACAGCAATAGTTGGAGAAACTCAGCAGGTTTGACAGCATCTGTGGAGAGAAAGCAGAGTTAGAGAGGTGGGTATATTGCACTGTTGATAAAGGAGACCGTCACTGGAGTAATGAGGGAGGATGTTTTCAAATGAAGCTATCTGGGTAAAGCTTAGAAATGAAAAATGGGCAATTACTTTGCTCAGCTTGCATAAAGGCCTCCCAACAGTCAGAGGGAGATAAAGGAACAGATATGTAGGCAAATCATAGATGTGTGAGAGGAATACAGTTATAGTAAAAGGAAATTTCAACTTCGCTAACATTAACTGGGATCGCCTTGTGACAGTGAGTGAGCATTTTGAGTAAGGTAACCATAATACTGTACATTTCAAAGTCATGGAAAGGGATAAGGATAGTGCAACGGTTAAGTGTCTAAATTGGGGAAAGACTGATTCCAATATCATTAGTCAGGATTTGGCAAACAGACTGGGAGCAGCTACATGCAGGTAAGTCTACTTTTGGAATGTGGGAGTCTTTTAAAAGTAGTATAGTGAGAGTTCAGGACCAGTGTGTTAATAGGGAGGTATTAGATGTTTTAGTGGGCATAAAAGTGCATAAGTCTCCAGAGCATGATGAGATGTATCCCAGGCTGCTGTGGGAAGCAGGAGAGGAGTTTGCTGGTGCCGTGGCAAAGATATTTAATACTTTGCTGGCCACAGGTGAAGTACAAGATAACTGGAGGATAACTAATGTGATTCCTTTGTTCAAGAAAGGCAGCAAGAATAGGTAGGTAAGTACACTCCAGTTAGTCTGATTTCAGTGGTAGGGAAATTATTGGGAGGGGAGAAATTCCGAACAACAGGAGCAAAAAGTGACGGTGGAGGGTTGTATTTTGTGATTGGAAGCTTGTTATTATTGGTGCACCACAGGGATTGGTGCTGGAGTCTTTGCTGTTTGTTATGTACATTAACAACTTAGATGTGAATGTGGAAGGTATAATTAATAAGTTTCAAATGACACCAAAATTAGTGGTGCTAGGAGGATGGTCTCAGGCTATAGTCTGACATACATTGCTGCTAAATCGAGCAGAGCAATGACAGATGGAATTTAATCCTGATAAATGTGAGGTGATGCATTTTGGGGAGCCTCATAAAGGTAAGATGTACACAATGAATGGTAGGCCCATAGCGAGTACTGAGGAACAAAGGGATCTTGCTGTACAAGTCCAAAGATCCCTGAAGGTGTCAGCTTAGGTAAATAGATTGGTGAAGGTGGTATATAGGGTACTTGCCTTCATCAGCCTGGCACGCAATATAGGAGAAAGTAAGTATTAATACAACTTTGTAAAACATTGGTTAGGCCACAGATCGAATACTGCATGCATTTCTGATCACACTGTATCGGAATGATGCAATTACAGTGGTGAGGGTGCAGAGGAGATTCACCAGGATGTTGCCTGGAATGTAAAAACTGAGGATAGACTGGATAGGCTGGGTTGTTTTTCGTGGAGCAGAGGATGCTGAGGGAGGATATGATTATACAAAATTATGAGAGGGCATAGATAGGGTAGATCATGAGAATCTTTTCATCATGGCAGACGTGCTTACGACCACAGGATATAAATTCTTAAGGTGAAGAGTAAGTGGCTTAGAGGGGATGTGAGGTGAACTTTTTTCACCTAGAAGATAATAGAAATATGGAACACATTTCCTGAGAGCGTGGCAGAGTCAAGAACTCTCAACATTTAAGAAGCTTTTGGATGAGCACTTAAATTGCCAGGGTATGGAGGGTGCTGGTGTTGGACTTGGGTGGACAAAGTCAGAAGTTACACAACACCAGCTCATAGTCCAACAGGTTTATTTGAAATTGCAAGCTTTTGGAACTCATGTGAAGTGTGACTTCATCTAACAAACAAGCAGCACTCCAAAAGCTTATGATTTCAAATAAACCTGTTAGACTATAAATTAGTATCAGAGATAGTAGGAACTGCAGATGCTGGAAAATCTGAGATAACAAGGTGTAGAGCTGGATGAACACAGCAGGCCAAGCAGTATCATAGGCGCAGGAAAGCGATATTGCTTGGCCTGCTGTGTTCATCCAGCTCTACACCTTGTTATCTCAGACTATAAATAAGTGTTGTGTGACTTCTGACTTAAAATGCCAGGGCAGTGTTGGCTATGGAGTGGTATGAGTATAGTTTGGTGTTTGTTGATTGGCATAGACATAGTAGGCTGAAGAGCTTGTTTCTTTGCTATATGACTCTGACTCTGACTCTGACTAGACTTCAGTCATAATCTATTGAGGCCCTCTTCAACCTTCAGGCAACTGACTGATAACTGTTCCTGACTGTGACAGCTGAGACAGCTACCTTGTTAACCTTCTAACTAGACTACTGAATTTTAAACTTGTAAAATGGAGAAAATAAAGACAGATTTACCAGTTCTATTCCCGCGCTGTTCTGAAAGCACCAAAATACATGCTCATTCGGGCTGTCTGTCACTGTGGATGTGATCTCTCCTTCCTGAACGTGCAAAGCTTACTAATCATGCACTTTCAACAGACTTTCCAAGTTCTGTCAAGCTAGGATCTGTGGGAAGTGTAATTGGGTTTGGGGTCAGTTTAATTGTTATCTAGAAATTAGACTAGGTTTTTAATAGACAAATGTTTCCTGAGTAACACTTAACTGCAGTGGAATCATTGGTGTTCTCTGATTTGAATGCATGCTTTCAAGAGGGTCCAGGCTCGGAATTTCCCATCAGAATCTTCAATTTCCCGTGTAATTCCCTTGGAGTCTGCTACATTGGGATTCCACAGGGTCCCAATGCATAACTCTCATCTGTGCTACAGAACTGACTCTCAAGCAACTGGAAAATCTAGGCCAATTATATGACGGACTGAAGAAAACCCAGATGGTTGGTCTTTGTCCTTCAAGTTACTGAGCTGTTCTCTCCCCAAGCCTGTATCATATCATGTTGGGCAGCACTTAACACCTTCCATTTTACCCCTTTCAGACCCTAACATTCTCAAAGAATACTCTCCATCACCACAGGACTTGAAAAATGGGTTCTAGTAGAAGCCTGTGGTGTACCTTTATTTAACATGAGGACCTGAAGTGCAGTTGTTGTACATGTAATCTTGATGGGTTGGTAGTGAGATTTCAGTGATGTAGCACACAACAATGATGGGCACTACCTTGTTGCAGCGTATTGCTGCCTTCACAGTTGCCTGTTGTCCCAGACAAGGCTTATTGGATCTCACTTTGGCTGGCACCTAACCCCTTTCCCCCATTCCTGCTCTCCTTGGATCACCCTACCAGAAGCAAGGAACTGCTAAGGACATCAGTCAGAGATACATTGGAGCATACAGGCCACTTTCCATCATGTAATGGTGGTGATTCATGAAGGGCTGCCTATCTTTGTACAACTTAGTGGAATGGATAAGAAACATACTCTGTTTTCTCAACCCCTGCACCCCGAAACAATCAAGATCTGTTCATGAGATTTCATAAGTCGATAGCTTGCAAACATTGCCAAATGCTTTAGGTGGGAAAATCCCATCTCCCTATGCAACAGCCTAACTTCTAACTCTCCATAAATAATGATGTAGCTAACTGCTCAAATTGGTAAAGGGGAAAGTCTTTGTATAATCGGCAAGTTTTCAGAATCTTGAAGGTGCTTTAAAATAATTTATTACACATGTATAGCCAAATGGATGTTTGGATGTACAAAAGTCCATACTTGGACAAATTGTAATAGTTGAAAGATCTCTTCTCTTTGTGAACTCAAAACATACCACATCTCATTTAATATATGTTCCAGTTCCATGCTCAGACATGTCTGTTGTGTGTGCATGCAACTTGTATAAGTTCAAACCATCAAAACTGAGGAGGGGCCAACAAAATGCACTGTTACAAAGTATATCAAGATTTTTAAAGTATCAGAACAATTGAATTCAGCACTGAGGCATGTTGCATTAATGGCACATTGCCATGTTATTAGTACATGAGAGCAGTTTTTGACTTTGTGCATGAATAGCACACCGCATGATTGAGAGATCTGTAATGCAGTACATTCAGGGTGGAGATCAACTTTTCTCCCCTGTTTGTAAACAAAGTATCTTAAATTAATATATAGAATAAAACAAAATTTGACACAGACAGGATCTGATCAATGTTTGGCAAAAATGTGGACCTGGATCCTGGATTTTTAAAAAAAAATGGATGTCAACATTGGGAGTAAGGCGAGTTGACTTTATTCTTAAAAATGTTGAGTTTTAATAGGATGTTGTGGATTGTCATAGCTGCAGTGATGGAATTCATCACAGCTGTCAAAATGTGAGCAGAGTTTTTGGATCAAGTAATTGCATGTGGATTGGCCTGAAGTCACCTCAGTGCGATGAAAGCTCCTAATAAAGACTTTTTTTCAGCTTTGTGGCTATAGACAGATTTTTCTGATGAAAAGTCACGAAGTGAATCATAACCTTCCCCCTTCAAAGATGCTCCTGGATTTGCTGAATGTTTCTAGCATTTTCTGATTTTCTTTTTCTTTTTTTCTTTTTTCTGATTTCAATCATCTGCAGCATTTTGCTTTAGAATTCTCAAACGATTCGACAATGGTTCATAATCATTTTTGTCAAGTAATGAGTTGTGCTCTGTAAACACTGACAGGAGATGTTAATGTTCTTTTATTGCAGTTGTTTCCACCTGGAAGCTGAAGAATGTAAAGGTTCTCCCTCATGAAAAAGGACTGCAAGTCCTCTGGGAGCCACTGAAAAATGTATCCAAGAGACCTGTGGATCACTATACTATTGGCTACGGTAAAACTCTGGAAAACCTCAAGTTCATCAAGGCAGATGAAGACAAACAGTCTTTTGTATTAGAGGATGTAGGTGAGTGGGTTACTGATATTTTGCAATGTGAAATAGAGATACCAGCCATATGTCTTTGAATTCCTCAGACCTCCAAGTTTTATTAGAATTGAAATAATGTTGCTTTCAGATTCTATAAGCTTCATGCAGTTTTGACAACTCACTGATGTAAGCCATATGTTCCAGAGCCTGGAGAAGTTTATTTTGTGATGGTGACTGCAGAAAGTAAAACTGGAGAAAGCCATCGTGTTTACAGATCCAATCGTATAGCTGGTAAGTTGAAGGTTCTCCTGATCTTTCTACAATTGATAATAGAAAACAAGCAGAAAATAAAACACCTCTTTCTTCAAGATTCTATTCTATTCTATTTGCTGATTAGCAGAAAGCAGGCCTCCAGTATGGGGAAGCCATTCATAGCTGCACCAGGAATTTTGCCAAATCCCTAAGTGGGGTAGCATTGCAGTGGACTTGGCATCCAGAAGGAAGGTGCTCTTAGCGCTATGTTGGGGGTGGTAGGTAGTCAGCAATTGGGCACTGAGTGAGATCAGCACACTCCCTAGCTATGCAGGAACAGAAGAACAGAGAACAGGACTGCCAATCACAATAGGGCAGCCAGTTATTCAGAAGGAAGATTGTAGATGACAAAGAGGTATGAGCGTCTGATTTTTGAGCCCAGTGGTGATGAAGGATAACAACCTCTGCCAGAATAGCAGGATCCTGAGCACTTGGAGAACAGGGGAGAGTAGAGACAGACATGAGTGTCATATCTTCAATACAACAAAAATTGTCAAAGATGGAGCTACCTCCAAAAGAGCAAGACGTAGTGCTGCAGCAGTTGCAACTCTCTCGGCCGATGGCCACAGAGGTCTGTGGCCTTGTTGCTGAAGACATCTCACCGCATAACATTACTTATCATGACTGCCACAGTCTCTGTAGTCTTGAAGTTGTATGCTTCTGACACCTTCCAAGGATCAGCTGAGATTCTTAGTGGCATTTCACAAACAGCTGGTTACCACTACATTTCGTAGGTCACTGATGCCCTTTATTCTAGAATGAAGATTATTGATGTGGGTAGGGTAGTGGATCCTGTCTACATGGACTTAGAAGCAAGGTCCTTTGTGGTAGGCTGGTCCAGAACATTGTCGCATGGAATCCATGGTGAGTTCACAAGTTGAATACAAAATTGGCATAGTCATAGAAGAGAAAGGGTAGTTGGAGGGGCGTTTTTCTGACTGGAGGTCTGTGACCAGTGGTGTTCCACAAGGATCAGTGCTGAGACCTCTGTTGTTTGTCGTACGTAAATGATTTGATCAAAAATGTAGGTGGTCTGATTGGTAAGTTTTCAGACCACGTAAAAGTTGGTGGAGTTGTGGATAATGAGAAAGTTTGTCAAAGGATATAGCCAGATATTGATCAGTTGGAAAGTTGGGTTGAGAAATGGCAGGTGGAGTTTAATCGTGTAAAGTGTGTAGTGATGCATTTTGGAGGTGAAATGCAAGAGGAAAGTATACAGTAGATGGCAGGATTCTTAAGAACATTGATATTCAGAGGGATCTTGCGTGCAGTGGATATGGTGGTAAAGAAGGCATATAACATGCTTGCCTTCATCATTCAGGGCATTTAGTATAACAGTTAGTAAACAATGTTGCAGCTGTACAAGACTTCAGCACAGCCACATTTGGAGTATTGTGTGCAGTTCCTTTGCTACATTGCAGAAAGGATGTGATGCTTGGGTGCAAAATGTTTAACCAGGATGTAGTCTAGATTGGAATATATTAGGTATAAGAAGAGGTTGGATAAACTTGGATTGTTTTTGCTAGAGCGTCAGAGACTGAGGTGGGACCTATTAGTAATTTTATATACTTCAGAGACCTGGATAGAGTGAATAGTCGGAGTCTTTTTCTCAGGGTGGAAATGTCAAATACTAGGGAGCATAGGTTTTAAGTTGAGGGGGTAATATTTAAAAGGAGATAGTCATACAGCACGGAAATAAACCCTTCGGTCCAACCAATGCATGCCGACCATAATCTCAAACTAAACTAGTCCCCATCTGCCTGGTCCTGGCCCATATCCCTCCAAACCTTCATGTACTTCTGTACGAGGAAAGTGCTTTGCACAGGGGTTGTAGGTGCCTGGAACACAGTGCTGCAGGGGAGGTGATAGAAACAGATACAATAGTAATGTTTAAGAAGCATTTAGACAGACACATGAACAGGCAAGAAATAGAGGGATATGGACCATGTGCAGGCAGATGGAATTCGTTTAGAATGGCATCACGGACTGTGGGCCGAACGGCTTGAACCTGTGCTGTACTGTTTGATGCTCTATAACTGGACAGTGCATTCATTTCATGATATTGGGTTTTGCTGGATCACTGGAATTGACCAGCTGCACAGCAAATGCCCAACCCTTTGAGTGAGAAGAAGCCACTCCTATTAATCGATATTCAGTTGCTTTGTGACATAACAAGTGCCTTTGCAAACCTCCTTCCTCACCATTCCCCCCCCCCGCCTCCCCACACCCCTGCTCCCAAGCCCTACCCCCAATCTGTGCAGTCATTTTCTCTGCCAGTTCACATCAGCTTAGCTCTTTACTCCACCTCCTGAAGGTTATGAATGGATCCTAGTGAACAAGAGACACCTCTTGAAGACCTGACTTTTCACCGCCCAGTGAAAGTTTTAACAGTCTCAACGCGACCAGTTCTGTCAGCTCACTGTTGTGAGGATCATCAGTGGCTGGCCCAGGCAGAAGGCACCTTCCAATGCCCTCCTGTAAGCAGCTTATCATTTGTGGTGAGATATAGTAGGA